CAGCTGCAAAAATTAACAATCTGGGGTAACCTAATATTCTTCCCCCAAAGCCAATGAGCACTGAAATGAAATATTTTATAACAGTCCCCCACCCCTCCCCGCCAAGGGCCACTCGCTGATCTAACACCTAGGTGAGCAGGGCTGGAGCAGGACTAACATTTGCTAGCTCTTTTTAATTAGAAAATTCTTCCAGAAGGAGGCTTGTGATACTGGATCCTTGTCTGGAATTACTATAATAAAAACGGGAACACGATGGAGATGATGTGGTATTTAGTTAGGGAAGGTGTGCCATTCATTAAAGAAAGGAAAGATGGATTGGCTGTGAACTCCACCCATCCACTGGGCTTAATAAGGACAAACTTGTCATGGAAAAACATTGAAGGAAACTTACAGGGTGCCATCAAAGAGGTCATTAGAGGGACGTTCTCTGAAACTTATAGAGTTGGAGAATCTGTATATATGGGACATAATACCAGCAATAATGAGGTCTCCTGATTGGTAATGCTTGTGAAGAATAGAAAGAGGGTCACTGACATCACATTTGATGCTGGGAACCTTAGACACCACTCGAGGCAAAAACACTAGCACCAACATTAAAAACGCCACTATCTTGCATAAAACAACCCCTTTTGCATTCCAATACACTTGCCAATACATTATCCTTCTCTGATTCCGATGATGAGTAGCACATCCTTATATAAGTGGCGGCCCGGTTTATCTATGTTTCAAACTGTGTCTTAGTGATCAGACTGACTGAGTGGCGATATCTCTAGCTCCAACTTGGAGTGATGCAGAGGATATTATAAATGTCCTTTAGTCCTGTTGCTTTGCTGAAGAAGACAGAGGATAATAATCACCAGTCATAAAATTACAGGGTAGATAATAATCTCTTGCTGTTTCTATGAGATGTTGCTGAAGAAAATATGCTTATCACACCTCAGCAAAATTTGCTCCCAGACCTCCTCCTGACAGTGCAATGACTGACATCAAGAAAAGATTCTCAAGATAATGAGACATCTGTATTTGTAGGTGCATGTCGCAAATTGAGCCAATTTGTCTGTTCTAGTTCAGCCTTGTTGGTGCTGAAATCACAGGCTCATTACTTCAAGACAGAAGATTGTCCAAACTCTGCAAAGAGCTGTGTGAAGTTTAATACTAAAAAAATAACCAGTGTTCATGCCAGTAATATATTTGGTGGGGATTTCCACAACCTAGACAGCACCACAGAGAAGGCCACATCCTATTTCACCTCAGAACGAGCTTCTCCAGACATTGGGAAAACAAGAAAGGCTTCTTCCAGTCTTAACTGATTGGCATGTCCATAAAGGGAGTTAAGCTTGATATATAGATATCAAAACGATTACAGCTTTACATGCTACAATCAGTACTTGGAATGATGGGTACACATACCCCTAAACATTTTTTGAATCAAAGTTTGGCCTCATTGTTTGGCAGTATTTCAATATGAGTAGAAAAATGAGAGTACCCCCTAAACATTTTTTTAAAATAAAAAAAAGCACTGGATGTCGCTAATGTATATACAATCAGTGCAGAATGGTGTTATTGTCAGGAGCTCGTCCTACACTCAAGTAGGACCCTGGCAGACACACATGCCCCACTGGCATGTTCTCTCCTCCTGGTCGATCGTTTGGGAGCTTCAAAAACTTTCTTCTGTCCGAACATCACAGCGACCAATGCCAACAGACACCGGCACACTTAGGGATCCGCAGAGTTTGTGCACCTTGCGTGACAGACCACAGCAACTCAGCATTTTGGCTAATCTACTTTATTTACATATAAACACACACGGAGCACTGCAACATGGCTCCCTCTCTCTCTAGCATCAGACAGCAAAGAGAAAAAGAACAAAGGACAATAGTCCCACTTCATGGAACACAGTAAAACAAATATCCTGTCTCCATCACTTCCCAGTCTGTGGAGTCAAAACATACACCTTCATGTGATAGACAACAATCCCATAACTGCAATCATGGAGCAGGAATTCTAACAGTTATATGGTTGCACCTCACCAAACATAAAATGCTAGCAGACACATTTGACAATAGCTGCAACTTCCAGTTTGTCTTCAAAGGTAGCCTCAAAAAGAGGGTGCTATGGAAATCTAATTGGAAGGTTACCAGAGCATGGATTGTTGTGGAAAGGCAATCATACGGATTACTGTGACAAGGTCTCAGTATGATGAAAAAAGCATGTGAGGCACTGAACAGGAAACATGTAGCTACAATGATGGGGATAATCAAAAGACGGGAGCAAAGTATAAATTTAGAGGTCAGGAGAGATGAGAGTGATACTGTGAAAGGAGAATAAAATAAAATAATTTTTTAAAAATTGAAATTTGTGTGAGAAGGACTGAGCAAGTGAAGGTTGGAATGTGAAGCTTGTGTTTGCAAGAGAACCATGAAAGGGGGACAGAACGAAACATGCAAAGGAGCTGTTGCTTTAACTCTTGAGAAAGAAGGAGGAAGGCAAAGATAAGAAAGTTGACATGCCTCATGATTAAAGCAGTATAAACTAGTAGAAGGAAGCATTGACATACACAGACATAACTGATCCTTTGCTCCCACTTGATTGTAAGTGTATAACTGCTTGTGCAGTTTTTATATTTGCTGTGCCACCCTTCAACTACTTGCCGGTTGAGGTTGTGTTGCTGACATTTCCAGCCCAATCCGAATAACTTTATTGTACTAGCCACTGGCCATGACAAATCTGAATCAAAAAGAAATACCAGCAAAAGGGGTGTCAAGCCACAAATAATAGTCTCTATTTAGATCTCTGTGTCTCCCTTACAGTTCAATGCTATATTGCCCAAGGTCTTCTTTGTGATCTTTTTGGCCACCAGAGCAAAAAGGGCAACTCTGTGAGTCACTGAAGCATTTGCATTGCTAAGAAGCCATAGGACCTTCTCTGCCAAGGAGAGACATCCTTCTTGCATGGATGGTAGGGTGGGGAATTGCCTCATGGGTCCAATGTATACTGAGCCATATAGAAAATAGTACAAGATGTCTTCCACCTGCGGTTGCCCACATATACAGAGTCTGTCTTCGTACAGTAGTACCCTGTTATATCGTCCATCTAGGACAACGGAGGGCATAGCTTGAAAACGGAGCTTAGTAGAAGCAAATCTTAGTGAGTCTGGAGACTTGCTGACATTTGGTGTCTGAATGAATGAATCTTTATTTGTGTCGGCCACAGCAATAAAAGAACAATATGATATACAAAGAATAGAAATAAAAAGTCAATTATATAAAATATACTTTAGGGTTTTGAATCAATAGTCAAATAGTGGATCTTATTCTGATTGCCCAAGCTAAAAACCTTGCAACCATTGTAGTCACCTGCTCATTTTGATCTGCCAAGAGAAAGGACACTGTGGTTGGGCGACCCAGAATGGACAATAAAAGAGGGGTGATAACCTCATTCCTCAAGTCTTTATAAAGAGTGCAAGCCAGAAGGGCATGCACCACCAATTCAGTACTGCCATCTCCACAGGGACATAAGCGTTTTTCATGTGGAATCTGTTGGAATCATCCCTCAAGTGCAGCTGAGGGCAATATATTCAATCTTGCGAGAGTAAAAGCGTGTCTATATTTTAGAATTGCTAGGTTATGCAGGTAGGGTGCCAGCGAGTGGAAAATGCGAAGGTGGAAAAAAGTCATACCATGGGCAAAATTTCCTTATTGTGGCCAAGTTGTTCTGACACTCGATATAATTTAGGTGCTGACCAATGAGACTGTTTGCTTTACTAAAACCCAAAGTGAGTAGCTGTTGTGGTGATAAACCACAAGAGTGAACTTTTTGATAGACAGTTTTAGTCCAGGTGCTCTTGTGACAATCTTGCAGCACTAGAGATATTAGACCGGGGGGATTTGAGTTTAGGCGAAGCCAATAGTTAAGTGTCCTACGCCAGATCAGTAATTCTACCGAGTGAAGATTAGCCTCTAGGTGCAATGATGCATATGGGACACAGAGTGGTGTCTGGATTCTATAGGTATTGGGCTTGAACCACACTATTTCCCCGACAATACTTTCATCATCTGATTACACCAGAAAAGCATGAAAATTAATCCTAGTCTTTACACAGGTCGCTGAAGAAATAACGCAAGGGGTTTGCTGGATGCTTTGTGCGTTTTAGCAGAGTTAGGCTTTGTTCATATCTCATTGCCTTCATGAAGCGAGAATGTGGGGGAAAAGACAAGAGAAAAGTTGTGATCTTTGGGAATAATGGGATGCAGCAATATAAAATGTGACATCCAGGAATTATAGTTGGATGCTTCTCAGCTTTGAAATTCTCAGCCAAAAGACATTTACCTAAACATTTTATTTGGTTCTTAGATCATTCAGGGGGTTAGAATTTACAAAAAAGCAGGAAAAGTTGTTGAACGGTATATGTTTGGATTTTGATTGCTACTTTGCAATTCCACCTGCAAGTGGCAAAACATGGGGGAGCAGTGGTTGGTGTAATAACTCACCCTGGAGCAGAAAATATTGGTTAAATGGCCCTGCCCAAAACCATTCAAATATCCATGGTGATGTTTTGCTTCATTGGCAACAGGATGGGTGATTCAGAGGAAAGCCACTGTCTTCATTCTTCAGCCTGGTCTGGGACCTTTTTAAACCAATGTTTCTGTAGGCAATGGGGGCTTTCCGGGAAAGACTATCAGCTCTGGTTCTAGGGCGCACCTTCCAACATTTTCTCTGATGAAAACAGGGACATTTCTCTCATTCATTCATTCATTCATTCATTTCTACCCCACCCATCTGACTGGGTTGCCCCAGCAACTCTGGGTGGGTCCCAATATATATATATTTATATAAACATAATAAAACATTAAACTTTAACAAACATCCCTATACAGGGCTTCCTTCAGATGTCTTCTAGAGGCTGCACAGTTACTTATCTCCTTGCCTCAGGAGTCGCATAACTCCATAGTCTCCAACATTGATGAAAATAGGGACATCCTATGGAAAAGCAGCACATTCCAGGATCAAATCAGAAACTGGGGTGGCTTCTGTAAATCCAGGACTGTTGCTGGAAAATAGGGACACTTGCAGGTTCTGCTAGGGTCCCATTCGAACTCCAAAGCAGCAGCATAACTCAGGGCCCCCTTCATCCCCAAACGACCACTGCATCCCATAGTCCCAACGATCCTCGCGATCCCTGCCGAAACAGTTGTCTAGGGGACAACACACAAGGCCTCGTTCTCGGGATTCACAGGATGGCCTCACTGAACAGCCCTCTCTGTTCCAGTCAACCTGCAGGTTCGGAGAGAAAGAGAAACAGCTAAACAACACAATGCAGTAGACTCTGGGGCGCAGCTCCTAAAAGAGTTTCTGAGCACCGGAGGCCACCTAAACCCTGGATGCAGATTAAGCCCTGGCCAGGCCCAGTTTGATCTGAGAAGTGCAGATGGTTTAACTATACTGCTTAGTTCAAGTATTTGGGGAGTTTGCTACTATTGACTGCTGAATCACCCATCTGCATAGGTGACCTTGTTCCACATCTGAAGGTTGGCTTATAAACTGCTGAAAGTTCAGAATGTGTAATTGCTGTATTGGAATCATTTACTGTGCTTACCTGGACCCCTCCTTTCCCACTGCACATGTCATTGGTTCCAACTGCCTTGGGATGCAGAGAAGCAGGGTCATCTGTTCTGGGAGTTGTGGCAACATCTGGGCCCCCTACCCTTCAAACATTATTGGACGTGGGTGGCACTGTGGTCTAAACTACTGAGCCTCATGGGCTTGCCAGTCGGAAGGTCAGTATTTTGAATCCCCACAATGGGGTGAGTTCCCATTGCTCTGTCCCTGCTCCTGCCAACCTAGCAGTTCGAAAGCACACCAGTGCAAGTAGATAAATAGGTACTGCTGTGGCAGGAAGGTAAACGGTGTTTCTGTGTGCTCTGGTTTCTGTCTTGGTGTTCTGTTGCACCAGAAGCAGATTAGTCATGCTGGCCACATGCCCTGGAAAGCTGTCTGTGGACAAACACTGGCTCCCTCGGCCTGAAAGCAAGATGAGCCCCACAACCCCATAGTTGCCTTTGACTGGACTTAACCGTCCAGGGGTCTTTTACCTTTTTTACCTATTGGAGTAACAAAACCTGACAAATTCCATATATTTCTTAATTGCTAGTAGGCTGCACAGATCCATACAATTGTAGGGATAGATGAGGAGGAGTGCTGGAGATTGCCTGACCAAGTGGCCTCCAAGGAAAATTCAGGAGAGGACAGTTTGGACCCAGGTTGGTGGTGGTGGGAGACCGGACACAGTCCAGAGGAGGAGGAGAGGTGAGGAAAAGTGGAAGCTGGGAGTCAGGAGGATGAGGAACAGGTGCAAACAAGCAGATGCCCCAGCCCTGAGCAAGGACAGGAGACAGACTTAATAGAGGTTGCACATCTCACCTGGGGATCAACATAGGTGGTTCCATCTCTCTCTCTTTTCCTGGATTTTCTTTTCTTCACTATGATTATTGTGACCACCAATAAACAGGCAACGACGGGGAGAAGAAGAATTAACATGAACTCCCAACGTATAATTTGTCCAAGGCCACCTGCAATGTACAATAAGAGACTCTTGGAATATACTGTAATGAAAACTGTAGCATAAAAAAGATTTTGGAATAAGCGATAAAAAAGACTCGGCAATAACACATTGTCAAAACTGAAAATTCTCCAGTAGCACCTTAGAAACCAAGTAAGTTTGTTCTGGGTATAAGCTTTCATGTGCATAAGCTGGGGATAAGCTTTTGTGTATCTGAAGAAGTGTGCATGCACATGAAAGCTCATACCAATAACAAACTTAGTTGGTCTCTAAGGTGCTACTAAGGTCCGTATAGTTAAAGCTCTGGTTTTCCCAGTAGTGATGTACGGAAGTGAGAGCTGGACCATAAAGAAGGCTGATTGCCAAAGAATTGATGCTTTTGAATTCTGGTGCTGGAGGAGACTCTTGAGAGTCCCATGGACTGCAAGAAGATCAAACCTCTCCATTCTGAAGGAAATCAGCCCTGAGTGCTCACTGGAAGGACAGATCCTGAAGCTGAGGCTCCAAGACTTTAGCCACCTCATGAGAAGAGAAGACTCCCTGGAAAAGACCCTGATGTTGGGAAAGATGGAGTGCACAAGGAGTAGGGGACGACAGAGGATGAGATGGTTGGACAGTGTTCTCGAAGCTACCAGCATGAGTTTGACCAAACTGCAGGAGACAGTGGAAGACAGGAGTGCCTGGCGTGCTCTGGTCCAGGGGGTCATGAAGAGTCGGACACGACTAAACAACAACAAGAACAAAAGGTGCTACTGGAAGGATTTTTTAAATATTTTGTTTCAACAAACCCTTCCTTAATGTTAAAGGCCATGGGTGTAGATCTGACCCTGGAGGTTCCAGAAGAACAGAAGAAGAGGCCACAGGGGGCCCATCCAGTCCAACTGCATGCCTCACACTGGCCAACCAGATACTTTCAATGGAAGCAGAGCCTGACTCCCCCTCCCTTCTATTATTCACTGCCTGCCCAGAGCCATTTCCTTGAAGGCCACACCTCAAATCACTTCCTTTGTAGCTAGAAAAAAGAAGGGTGTGGGTGTTAGTTTGAACAGCTTAGTTTTTTTCCAGAGAGAGAGCAGTGGTGGACAGAAAGTGTGAGTATCTTCCTGCAATATTTATCATTACAAATCCATTTGTCTTTATTTATGTGAATGGGGGAGGGAGATGGGGAGGAGAAGGGGGGAGGGCCATAGCTCAATGGATGAAGTTCACAGGCTCAACCCCTGATTGGCATCTCCAGAAAAGGGCTGGGAGTGACTCTCAGCCTTAAACCTTGCAAATCCACTACCAGTCAGTGTAGACAATAGTGAACTAGATGGTTTGACGTCATGTAAGGCAGTTTCCTGTGTAACTGAGAAATGGTGGGTCCTTTCTGTGGTTGTCACAACTTCCAGCAGAAGTATGGAGGTTTTCCATTCCTGTTTCCATTTAGTTTCAAAAACCACAAATGCTTTGTGTGCCCACACAGTTATCCTTGTTTCCCTGCTTTTTAGAGATACCCCAAGTATTCACCACCCCAAGCAACGCCTCTCAGAAATGTGCTTGTGTGTGTGTTTGTGAGAGAGAGAGACTCCATTTCTCACCTCTATCACTTGCGCAGATTTTGAGCATATCAACTGAGGTTTCCTTTTGATCTGAAGAACTGCTGACCATGCAGGTGAACGTGGAGTCATTGGAACCTTTTCGCCAGGAGACGTGGAGATCCCTACCATTGTGGGAAAGCTGGTATTCACTTGAACCTCCAGCTAAGGTCCTTGGGGGATTCCCTTTTCCCCAGGAGATAACAAACTTTTCTTCTGTGGATGCAATGCACTGCAGGGTCACATTGCAGCCTTCTGGAGTCTTGGAGATGTTTTTGGGGAGTATCTGAGGCGCTGGCACTGGCTCTGTTCAATACAAACAAAGGTTACATGAAGTTTGTGCTTCAGTGGCTGCCACTAACTGTGTAAGGCAGTGAAAGGGGACCTCATGCCTTCGTTCTCTCTAGTTGGCCCTTGAGACTCTTTCAAGTCTGCACCCATGTACACCCTCTGCTCCATGCCCCCACACAAGTGCCTTTTGCCTTTCTGGGATGTTTCCTTCAACAAAGGTAGAAGGCACATTTGTTGCTCTGCCAAATTTTTCCTTTGGCCTGGAAGAAACATGGGCCTCAGAATGTGTGATCAGATCCACCACTGTGCTGGTCTGGTCCCAAATCCAAGGGTTCTGCAAGGAGTCAGTCCAACAGGGCCAAGGCAGGACACAAGGCAGGAAACCAGGCAAGGTTAGGCACAGGATCACAGGCAGGTTCTGGCAAACAGCAATATTGCTCACACAACCTGGGGCGGGGTCCGACAGCCTTTTATCTTTGTCAGGGTAACGGCCGGTCCTGATCCCCCAGTGACTCACCTCCCTGTCTCACCCGAAGGTGAGCACTCCTCCTGCGAGTACTCAGGTCTCTTCTTCTCCCAGACCTTAGACTCTGCAGCTCAGGAGATGTCAGTGGGTTACTAGACCCAGGGGCTGCCACAGCCCCCCTGACCCAACCAGTAGTGGAGCAGCTGTAAGTGATGGTCCAGCTGAAGGCAACGAGGTCATCCCCGCATCTGAAGCCAGGGCAGACTCAGGCCCCTGACTCGGCCCAGCTGGTGTTTGTTGCAGGAGAACCTGTGCAGGATCAGGCCCCAGACTTGGTCCAGATGCCGCCTGAGGCAAAGGAACTGGTGCGGACTGGGACTCTTCTGGTTCCTAGTCCGAGCCCGAGTCCCAGGCCATCACAACCACAAACTGATGTCCAAACCAGTGCCTGAAATCTACAGTCACTCCTTGACATAAGAAGAGTCTGCTGGATCAGACCAGTGGCCCATCTAGTCCAACATACTGTCCTCACACTTTGGGAAACTGACAAGCGCAACAGCACTCTCCCCTCCTGTGGTTTCCAGCAACTGGTGTTCAGAAGCATTACTGCCACCAAGTATGGAGTGGTCAAGGTTGGTGGCCATCACAGTCACCTCTGGGAATGAGTTCCATAGTTTAACTACAGTGTGTGCTGCAAGGTCATGTTGTTCATTCTTGCAGCTGAAATTTCCCCCCACCCTTGACATGTCCTTAACAATCTCCTCCTGATTTCCAGTAGATGATATCTAGATTCTCCAATTTCCCCATCTCTGGACTCACAAAGCTTACCATTTCTGGGATGAATGACGTCCACTCTTCCTCCCTGGACTCTCTTCACCCGATGGATTGGATTCTCTGCTGCTTGACTTAAAGTGCCTTTAGGGAGACAAAGAGGGTGGGAAATATTGTCCAGGGCTCTGTTTCAGGTCCCCTATTGCTTTTGCGAACTGAATTTCTCCCTCCCTCCCTGCCAGTGCTGAAGGATTTACCAAAGGCAGAGAAGATCAGATGGAAGTCAAGAAGGATTAGCAAGCTTCTGTGAGTGACTTTCATGGCCGGTTCTCTCTGGGAATGAAGTGAGCTTTCAGTGTTTCCTGGAGAGGGGAGGGGGAAAGAGAGGTTGGCTTACCCCAGTTGCAGTCCACTCCTTTGCTATCTGCAAACTACAACACAGAACAGGTGCCAACAGAGAAACATCCGCCAAGCCGTTGCAAATAAATGTAAGGCTAACGACTGGGAAGCCATAAAAATGAACCATGTGACATACTTGCTCTCCCATAAAATCACTTTACAAGTATTTAAAAGTATGAGTCAAGGTTAAGTACCACCTAAATTACAGTCAGGCTCCCTATCCTATGAACAAAATGAGTTCTTTAGATCTGTGCGCTCTCTCTCGCTAGTCCTATTTAGTGACGCTATGTATGTTTCTGTCCTGTTTTAATCTCTGGCATTATCACTTATTCTGGTATCTGCCTTATTGCAGGGCAGATTCGAGGGTAAACCATACATGGAACGAGTCTGCCCCTGCGGCTTGATGGAGGTAGAAACTGTCTCTCATGTCTCGTTACGCTGCCGTTTCTAGGGGGATAGACACTCGGTATTTATCACTCCTGTTATACAAAAATCTCCAAATGGGTCCTAACTTAAATGTCTAAAACTCCTGGTAGAGGACAAGGATCTAGAGATTATGCTAAGGGTGGCCAAATTCTGTGCGATTGCCATAAAACTTAGGGAACAAGCTGTACTTCCAAAATGATTACGGTTTTAAATGATAATTTTAGGTTATATTTTAATGATCGAGATTTTATTTTTTTTAACTGCCGCTAAGATCAAACCTCTCCATTCTGAAGGAAATCAGCCCTGAATGCTCACTGGAAGGACAGATCCTAAAGCTGGGACTCCAATACTTTGGCCACCTCATGAGAAGAGAAGACTCCCTGGAAAAGACCCTGATGTTGGGAAAGATGGAGGACACAAGGAAAAGGGGACGACAGAGGACAAGATGGTGGGACAGTGTTCTCGAAGCTACTAGCATGAGTTTGACCAAAGGGTCTTTTCCAGGGATTCTTCTCTTCTCCTGAGGTGGCCAAAGTCTTGGAGCCTCAGCTTCATGATATGTCCTTCCAGTGAGCACTCAGGGCTGATTTCCTTCAGAATGGAGAGGTTTGATCTTCTTGCAGTCCAGGGAACTCTCCAGAGTCTCCTCCAGCACCAGAATTCAAAAGCATCAATTCTTCGGCGATCAGCCTTCTTGATGGTCCAGCTCTCACTTCCATACATCACTACTGGGAAAACCAGAGCTTTAACTATGCAGACCTTTGTTGGCAAGGTGATGTCTCTTAAAACTAACTATGAAAATGGGGGGAATGGGACCTTGCTGAAATAAAAGTTCCTGACCAGGGAGGGAGCCTGTCTGCTCTCAGCCAGGACGGAGTTCCACAGAATCAGCCCACAGTACTGGATGCAAATGGCTGATGGTGGAGACAAGTTGTGTTTCTGAGCCATGGGGGGGGCACTAACAAGAGACACACACACCCAAGAACTCAAGGATAAGGGTTCAGGAGGCTCTTACAGTATCCTGGACCCAATGACTTTGTGAATTAAGGCAACCGGGTAAGATGTGTGGGGTATAAATTGTAAAATTATCATTATGGAATGGGACATCACTACTTTCATCGGAGAAATGCTGGAGTCAGAAATTGGATGGTTTTTATCAAAAGAAAAGAAATACAACGAGAAATCCAATTTCAAGCAATACTTGCTTTCTGGCGCCATCTGCTGTTGCATGTTTAAAACACATTCAAATCACATTATTGTGACGAATGTAGCAGAGTCCTCAATCCGCTCAGAGCTGCTTCCTTGAAGGCCACACCTCAAATCACATTCTTTGTAGCGAGAAGAAAAGAAGGGTGCTAGTTTGAACAGCTTGTTTTTTTTAGAGCGAGAGGGAGAGAGCAGTGGTGGACAGAGTGTGAGTATCTTCCTGCAATATTTATTTTTTACAAATTCATTTGTCTTTATTTATGTGAATGGGGGAGGGAGATGGGGAGGAGAAGGGGTGAGGGCCATAGCTCAATGGATGAAGTTCACAGGCTCAACCCCCGATGGAATCTCCAGAAAAGGGCTGGGAGCGACTCTCAGCCTTAAACCTTGCAGAGCCACTGCCAATCCGTGTAGACAATAATGAAGTAGATGGTATGACGTCATGTAAGGTAGTTTCCTGTGTAGCTGAGAAATGGTGGGTCTTTTCTGTGCTTGTCACAACTTCCAGCAGAAGGAGTATGGAGGTTTTCCACTCCTGTTTCCATTTAGTTTCAAAAACCACAAATGCTCTGCGTGCCCACATACTTCTCCTTGATTCCTTGATGCTTTTTAGAGATACCCCAAGTTTTCACCACCCTAAGCAACACCTCTCAGAAATGTGGGGTGGGGGGAAGAATACATTTCTCACCTCTATCACTTGTGCAGATTTCGAGCATGTCAATTGAGCTTTCCTTCTGATCTTCAGAATTGCTGACCATGCAGGTGAACGTGGAGTCATTAGAACCTTTTCGCCAGGAAATACAGAGAGTCCTGACATTGTCAGAAAGTTCATTCTTAGCCAAAACTCCAGAACCCGGAGGCCTTATTTCTTTTCCATATGATTTTGAATGTTTCTTCTCCATATGCACGGCACTGCAGGGTCACATTGCAGCCGTCTGGAGTCTTGGAGATGTTTTAAATCACTGAATGTAGGAGTCTTTAGGTTTTACAAGCCTTTCACGCTTCCTGGAAGAAAACGTGAATTGAAGCACAGCCACCCTTTGGATTTTGGGGTGAATTTTGCCGTAGAGTTCCTCAACCAACAATTGTGGACAATATGTGTCCACTAATAAAACGTGTGCATTAAATTGCATGGATTAGTTAAAATAACACACGAAAGGGAGAGTATGAAATCAACAGTGCTCTTTAGCTATACAACCCTGTAGTATCTGGTATCTGGAGGTAGAATAGCTGTCAACGTTTCCCTTTTTTAAAGTGAAATTCCCTTATTCTGAATAGGATTCCTCACAAGAAAAGGGAAAAGTTGGGAGGTAGAATGCCTCTGTCAGTGGAAGGTCCACATTTCCACTAAGAGCTTTCAACAACTCCTCCTCCATTTTGAATTCACCTAACACCCTTTCTAAGGGACCCCATTTAAGAGTCGTCTTGTGAGCTTCTGGAGGCAAGTTTAATATTCATTGAGTGGTAAACTTATTTCTCTTCCCTCCAGACATTTTCTGCTACAACTCCCATCTGCCCCTGCAGTCAGAAGGCCCAATCATCTGAAGGCATATATTTTCTTTATTTCAAAAATAAATACACCAGTTAACACTGTAGTGCCTGAGGTTTCAAAAGATACATTTGTATTATTATTATTTGCAGAATTTATATACCGCTTTTCAGACAGACCTCACAAGCAATTTACATAATATTATAACAATAAGCATCACATTTTAAAAAAGAATAGTTATAATAGATATAATATAATAATAATAATATAACTTCTTCATTTGGAAAAAAAGCTGTTGCTACTTCAGATGCCCTCAACTGTTCCATTACAACTGGAACATCCCATTTTCCCACACAGCAGCACAGTGGCCCAGTTTTTCGCCTTGACATGTTGGAGGCTATGCATTTGGTAGCACCTCAAAGCGGTTTGCAAAAGATAAAATCAAGGAAAAAAATACAGCCTGCCTTTAAAACAGACAAAAGTTAAAATACTGAAACAGATTAAAAGTGATGTTGTTGTTCAGTGTCTTTATAAACGACAGTGAAGGCACCTGCTTGAGTTCCACAGGCAGGGAGTTCCAAAGTGCAAGATCTGCCATGCTATAGGGTTGAGTTCTTACACCCACAGGGCTGATATTGTGGGACACCTGTACTAGTGCAATTCTGCCAATCAAAGCAGATGAGTGGGCATATGTGAGGTAAGGCGGTTTTGTATGTAAACTGCTCCCAAGTTGTTAAGGGCTTTATATACAGGCAACTCCCAATTTGCACGGGGATAGTGTTCTGGGTCATCTCGCACTGCAGTGCAGCCCAGTCCAATCCAACCCCATTATGCTGTTATAAGGGATGCGGGTGGCACTGTGGGTTAAACCATAGAGCCTAGGGCTTGCTGATCAGAAGGTCGGCAGTTCGAATTCCCACGACGGGGTGAGCTCCCGTTGCTCAGTCCCAGATCCTGCCAACCTAGCAGTTCGAAAGCACATGAAAGTGCAAGTAGATAAATAGGTACTGCTCTGGCGGGAAGGTAAACGGCGTTTCCATGCACTGGTTTGCCAGAAGTGGCTTAGTCATGCTGGCCACATGACCCGGAAGCTGTACGCCGGCTCCCAAGGCCAATAAAGCGAGATGAGCACTGCAACCCCAGAGTCGGCCATGACTGGACCTAATGGTCAGGGGTCCCTTTACCTTTACCTATGCCCTGTTATGCCACTACCCCATCAAGGTGTTGCTTTGGTCATGCACAAAACAGCCATTGCCAGTCCTAATATGAACACCTTGAAGTTGGCAGGACATTGGCCAATTGGCAACCAGTGCAGAGCTCTGAAATGGGGGCGCTTGTGCGGACAAAGCCACACACGTATCAGCGATCATGCTACAGCATTCTGCAACAACTGCAGCTTCCATATCAAGAGAGGAAACCCGCACGTTGCAGCAATCCAGTCTTGAAGTATATGAACTACTGTGGCAAGGCTTTCATGGTCTGGGTATGGCCGTAGCTGTCAAAATAGCTGCAGTAGGTAAAAGGCACCTTTTGCCCTGAAATCCCTAACAATGGCTTTATGTAGATATGAAATAGAACCCCAGAGCATAGTTCAGCCTCCACAGCGGGAGACAGCAATGTTTCTGAAGATCGGTTGCTAAAAGCAAAGACTCAGGCAGCATTTCCTCTTTATAAGGGTCCCAGGAGGGGGAGATGAGCAAAGCCAAATGATGTTCCCAGTAGCTTTTCCACTGCAGCCACAGGATCAGAGAAATCAGAGAAAAGTTCCTCTACTTGAGTTTCACCTTGGCCCATGAGCTTTTTCAGACAATGTTCTCCAACAGGGTGGCGGTGTTAGCCATCTCCCCCAGCTTGTCCGGCAGTCACTCGGTTTCTTCAGTCGGGTCCTCAGCTCTGAATCCAGGATAGCTAGCTGCAGTCACAGCTGCAGTCACAGGCATCTGGGGCAGACGCGGTGCAATCAGAAATGGAATCATAGGCTGGCGGTTCTGAGCACAATGTACCTTCTCCTCCATTCCGGTCAGCCTGCAGGTGGAGGAGAAAGAGGAGCAGTTAAACAACACGGTACAGGAGACTGTGGGAAGCAGCTCCCGAAAGAGCATTGGAACCCACCTAAACCACCAACTCAGCCACAAATTCAGCAAAAGGCAGATGACTCAACTATACCTCTTAGTTCAAGTGTTTAGGGATAGCTTAAGGTCCATGAATAACCATAGGTCAGAGGTCCCGATGGCTCCGACCTGGTGATGGCTCCGACCTGGTGGACTGCTCTGTCCCATGAGACCAGGGCCCTGCAGGATTTAAGCTCCTTCTGCAGGGCCTGTAAGACAGAGCTATTCCGCCTGGCTTTCAATTTGAAATTAGCCTGATCTTTTATTCTCCTTCCTTCCCTCCCCCTCCCCTTTTTATGAAGATTACCTGCTCTGGGATCGCTAATTCTCCCCTGGTCTCTTTGCTCAAATAGGACTAATTTAGCCAGCTATCCCTGGTGATCAGCTAATGTTTATTGGATGGATTTCCCCCCTAAATTGATTTTTGAATTCTGAATTTATTGATATTCATGTTTTATACTGTATTTTATGCTGTTTTTTGTTGCATCAATTAAGTGTTTTAAATTTGTTGTTAGCCAGTTTTCTGAACCGGGAAGGGCAGGGTATAAATAAAATATTATTATTATTATTATTATTATTATTATTATTATTATTATTATTACTGGTTCCTGGATCTCTCATCACAATTAAGCTAATAACAGTTTGGCTGTCCTCTTCTTTAGTCAGACAATATTGTTTTAAATCTATTAGAACAGTGTTTCCCAACCTTTTTTGGGCAAAGGCACACTTGTTTCATGAAAAAAATCTCGAGGCACACCACCATTACAGCCCCGTGACGTCAGCGCGCAGCGTCACGCCGGGAGGGACATGAATTGCTAGCAAATTACATAATCACCTCCTTGAGGGCTGGCTCATCTTCTCCGAAGGCAGAACCCCATTAATTAACAGCACAGACTCACACCATAGCCAAGACGAGGGGGGAAAACCTCAGTCATGCACAGTCATGCACATGTGGGGGCTAAATGAGGACGAAGACCGGGCAGAGAGCAGGGTTCAAATCACCCCACCTGGCCAGGACAATCCCTGGGTGCTCCCTTGGGCCACTCGCCTGACCCACCTCGCAGGGCTGTTGTTGCGAGGATAACACGGGGAGAACCACGCGCGCCCCCGGGAGCTCCTTGGAGGAGAAAGCGGGCGATGAATGCAATGCACGAAATATATGAGAGGCGACCAGGTTTTGCAGGTGAAGGGCCCCCGCCAGCCTCCGCTTCCAACACCCGGCGCAACGACGTTTCCCCCCGGGCTCGGCTCGGGGAGCAGCGCTGCTCCCCCCGGCTCCCCTTCGCCCTCCCGGCTCTCTCTGCCGCCCACTGGGGACCCCCCTCACCTGCCAAGTCCGGAGCGCCGGTGGAAGTTGCATGCATGCATGCAGGGCGCCGCGTTGCCATTGCATTGCACTGCACTCCATGCAACGCCTGCATGCATGCATTGCCTTGCACGCCCGCCAAGGGGTCTCCCCGCGGTCCGATGCGTCCCCTCCGGCGCGGATGCAGCATTGCAAAAATAAACCCCCCCCGACACAGCCCTACCTGGGGGGCAGCCTCCGCCTCCGCCGCTCCGCCTCCGCGGGGATCCCCGGGCTCCATCCTGCCGCCCGATCTCCGCGGGGGCGCAGGCAGGCTGCGCGGGGTCTGCGCGGAAGAGCCCCTGCCCGCCCGGCCGCCGCCGCCGCGCTCATTCCATGGCCGGGAGAAGAGCGCTTCAAACAAAACGCCCGGCCCGCCAGGCCACGCTGGGAAATGTAGTTCGTGCACCCCGCGCGGGCGCGGAGCCCAAGGGCAAGGGGACTACGGATCCCGGCAGCCCCCGCGCCGGGGACGGAGGGGGAGAGGCCGGGTGCAGGGATGGAGGGACGGGTGGGCGAGCGAGTGAGTGAGTGGCAGCCGCCAAGCCTTGGCCGAGAGCCAGGAATGGCCTCCCCGGAGGAGGAGGAGGAGGGAGGCGCAGAGCGGGAGGGAGGGAGGGAACCCCAGGGGTCATCTAGTGACGGCGCCCCAATCGAAAATTTGACTTTTTTAAAAAAAAAATCTTTCAATTTTTTAATTTTTCCCGCGGCACACCAGGCAACATCTCGCGGCACACTAGTGTGCCGCGGAACAGTGGTTGGGAAACACTGTATTAGAATTTAATGTTTTGGCCAACAATATAATCAGTATTTTAGAAAGAAGGAAGAATAGGTTTTTTGGTGTGGGGAGTCACCAAACGATGGAGGCAATCGAGGCCAGACATTTTTCAGCCTGAGGCAAAGGAGAAGATGGTGCCGCCCCCCCTCATTAAATGTACAGAAGTCTGCCAGTTAAATCTGACTTTGAAACTGGCCGCAGGGCACTGCCCTCTACTGCACCTATGGGAAGCAGGATAACTTATGTGGGGGGCAGTCGTCACAGACTCTTGAGAGCCAGTGTGGTGTAGTGGTTAAGAGTGGTAGTCTCGTAATCTGGTGAACCGGGTTCGCTTCCCCGCTCCTCCACATGCAGCTGCTGGGTGACCTTGGGCCAGTCACACTTCTCTGAAGTCTCTCAGTCTCACTCACCTCACAGAGTGTTTGTTGTGGGGAAGGAAGGGAAAGGAGAATGTGAGCCGCTTTGAGACTCCTTTGGGTAGTGATAAAGCGGGATATCAAATCCAAACTACTCTTCTTCTTCTTCTTCTTCTTCTTCTTCTTCTTCTTCTTCTTCTTCTTCTTCTTCTTCTTCTTCCAAAACCTCTGAAGTCTCTCACTACCCTGAGATGGTGGTGACACGTAACCGTAGCACCGAACCATCACCCCTTATTTTCTTGACATACGCATCTCACCTGGACCTCATCATAGGTAGGGGGGCTAATTGCTGTACTGTCGGGTGCAGAAACCATCAAAAGGCGGTTCATCATTGGGTTCTCGGGTGGCGGACGGTACGCCATCTCCTCTTGTGCCACAGAGGGAATATCTGCAGAGTGCAACATGAGACATGTTCTTTAGTCCTTGGCAATGACCAATCCCTGTCTTCCAGGATACACAAATGGAAGGTGGGAACATAATTGGCAAGGAGCCTCCATCACAGTTGAGATGGAAGGAAGAGTAATAGAGAGGGTTCTACCTGTGTTCCTCTGATTGGATTTCCCCGCCTCATAACACCTGCAGATCACCACCAAAATACATATAAGGGGTACAAGAACACCCAGTATGATACCCCATTGGATATTCTGTTGAATGCTGCCTGGAAAAATGCTGCCTGGAAGAACAACAACAACAACAACAACAACAACAACCTATTGGAACAAGAACATAATAGCTACTGCCAAAGTGACCTCTGCCCCAACATGTGACCAAGAGCAACAGAATAAATAACAGAGAATAAGTGAAAATGCCAATCGGTTTCATTTGTAGGGAAATTCCATAATGGCCAAAGTCATGTTTGTAAGCTCCTTCACGTAATATTTCTCCAACGATCATCTGATAATTGTCCTTAGCATAAAATGAATTGTCAGCTCGTCCCATGAGAAAGCCAATCTATCAATATGATAAGGGGTCATTAAGCTGTTCACATGTTTTCTCAGAGAGGTCTTTAACTGAACTTTACGAGGGTGGGCAATTAGAGAAATTCTGAGTTCCTGGTTCTGGTTGTTTCACTTACATGTATAAAATGCTACATTGAGAAATGGTTGCTGGTTATTGAAAGCTTTGGAAAACTATATTTTGTTAGGGGCTGCCATCCCTGCCCCCATTGATCACCAACTGCCCTAACTCCGCCTCCACCTCCATGCCAACCCCTACCCACTTGAACCACACTATGGACCTCACCCTGGTAACCATCCCTCACGGTTGATTCAGCCATTTTGCCATACCTCCTTCCACCCCCAGCCCTCCCATCACAGCTCCTTCTACCCCACCTCCCTGCCACCCCAACCCTGTGGCCCATCCTCTCCCCATGATCCTACCAAAATCCCCCCAAGTCCACTCCATCACCAATTGCTCCAGTCCCCAAATACCACTGCCTGGAGCAGAGGGGAACGGAAGAGCAGAAAGTCTTTCTCGCTTTAGCTGCAGGCTGCTGAGAGATTGACGGTAATTTAAAGGGTGAAGCACCCCCAGTTTCCAGCCTCAATTCTATGGAAGGCATGAAAGGGACTCACTGTCTTAAACCCCAGAAAAAACCATTGCTGCCAGTCCGTGTAGACAATGCTAAGCTAAATGGGCCAGAGTTCCGACTCTGTAAGAAGCAGCTTTCTGTGTGCCTGAGAAATTGTGTGTGCAACTTTCGACAGAAATCAGGATGTTTCCCATTTGTGTTTTCCTTCAGGTTTTTTTAAAAAAAATGTTCTGCATGCCTGTGCACCTGTCCTTGAATCTCCAACCCTTAAGGATATCATAATTGTTCACTGGCCCAAGCAGCATCTCTGGATAATTTAGGGTGGGAGGAAAGATTGCTCACCTTCATGACTTTTAACTTCATGACGTTCATAATCCTGGCAGATTCTGCGCAAGTCAAACCAAGCTTTCTTTTCATCTGCCGGATTGCGGAGCAGGCAGGTGATGAAGGAATGGGAAGAGTCTTTTCTCCAGGAGACATGGAGATTCCTGCCATTGTCAGAAAATGAGAAACTATCTAAAGCTCTCACGTTTTCCCAGGAGATATTGTACGTTCCTGCTACATTTGTCTGGCACTTCAGGGTCACATCACATCCCTTTGGAGTCTTGGTCAAATCATAATAGTTGATCCTTGGTTGTGGTGCTGGATCTGTTCAACACAAAAGTCATGTGAGGTTTGTGCCTCATTGGCTGTCACTAAGTGTGTAGGGCAGCAATGGGGGAACCTCAGGACCAGGGGACAATGCACCCCTCTGGGCCTCTGTATCTGGTCCATGGGACTCTCTCAAGGCCACCCCCAGGCTGTTAAGATTTTGACCCACCCAAGCTGCTCAGTAGTAGCACTATGGTTGTTTATATCATGTGAGTGTCTGAGAGCATGAGACAGAAAGTCTCAGGATTGTTGGAGAGTTTTGTTTCGCTTCTGTGCGTGATGCTGTTCTGTACTGCTGCTGAGAGAGCACAGACATGCTGATGGATTCTTAGCATATAGACTGTAAATAAAGTACGTAGTTTAGAGCTACTGATTGTCTCTTTCTTCTACAGTGAGATGCCAGAAGACTAGCGTGCTCCTCTCTGGAGAGAGGGGTCGCTTACCACCTGTCTCTCTGGATTGAGGAAGATTTACAGCCAGAGAGTGACCATCGGAGAGATGTCCCGGTGTCTTGGGAAGGTGGTAGCCTTCTGGGGCGTTTTTCCAACACAGGCATCCCCTCTGCTCCACACTTTGCTTAAGTGTGATTTGCCTTGATGGAATAATACAATCATAGAATTGAAGAGCTGGAAGGGAGCCCAATGATAATCTAGTCCAAGTCCTACAATGCAGAAATCCCAGCCAACTAATCCCATTCAGCTTCTGCTTAAAAGCCCCTAATGAAGGGGACATCCACCACTTTGGTTTGTGTCTTCCCCTCTGGAGCAGCAGAAAACAAGCTTGTTACTTTTTCTACACCGTAGCCCTTCAGATATTTGATGATGGCTATCGTCTCACCTTTCAGTCATCTCTTCTCCAGGCTAAATAGTCCCAGCTCCTTCAATATATCCTTCAACTCTGAAAATGATGCTTGCTTGCTTGGATGGATGGATGGATGGAGGGTTAGACATGGGTGTGAGTTTGAGAAGCTGTGTAGATATTGGCCAACTCTACAAAGGTAAGAGTCACATTCATTACTCCGCCTACTTTCCCACCTCCCACCACCACCATGTGGCCCCAAGAAGATTCCCTAGGAGGAATTGTGGCCCTCAGTCTGAAACAGAGGTGTTGATGTGGGCCCCAGATTGTGGGTGCTCAGTGGCGTGCTTGCGTGCAATGTGATGTCATGACATTATGTCACACGCACAGCGCTCCGCCTCCACTTCCCTCCGCCCCCTGCCGTGCCTCCGCTGACTCACCAGCACCATGGCGGTGACCAGGCCAGGGCCTCTGAGGCTTCAGATGCGCCCCGTCAAGATGGTGCCTATGCTGCTTTGTGAGACATCGCATGCACGGCACATTTTTGTCACCCGGCTGGGCTCCCACAGTGGAAATTCTGTGGGTCCCGAGGCACCCAGGGCCCATCAGAGATGGTGCCTATGGTCTGAAAAAGGCTCCCCATTTCATCCGATGACCATCCTTTTCCATGCTCAGCTCCAGCACAAACTCAAGAATGGAGAAAAACAATTGCTTACCGTAAAGAGTCACATTAAAAAAGTGGTCTTCAAACTGTTCTGCATCAAACCAGACACGAGCTTTATAGATTACAGCATCCTGCCTCTCCATCTCCCTGATTGTAAGAGTGGCCCTGTCAGCCATCAGCAGCCGACGTCCAAATATGTACCCCGACATTACATTACTCACAAAATCATTTTCCCCAGATAACCTATGACCTTGTCGGTTCATCCATGTTTCTATCCACGTGCTGAAATTTGACTTCTTCAGCTTCCAGTCTCTGAATTCACAAAGGCGGTAGGGCGCTCCGCTTACAGGGCTAATGACGTCCCATTCGATTTTCTCCACTGGTTTTCCCCGGGGAACCTTTACAGGAAAGGAGACCTGTCCTCCCACGACTCCCTTCACATGCTGGGATGCATTGATCGATGCTTCACCTGAAGTGCCTTTGGGGAAGCAAAGAGGGGCACCATTGTTTGCATATGGAATTTATACCCCACTCTTCCTCCCAGAGGCGGGGTATAAATGTTGTGTACCCCGCGGGGGCAGGGCTAGCTGCCCGCGGGCGTGGGGCTAGCGTCCCGGGGGGGTGCACCCCCCCGGGATGACACCCGGGGCGGGCTTCAAGGGCACCCACCACACCCCACTTTCTTCACCAGTGCTTCCTCCTACAATTGAAAATATTTTTTGTTTAGTAATGATATTGGAAAGCTGTTACATGCAGATACAAGGGAACTCAGAAGGGAGGGACTAGAGGAAGTCAATCAATATGTACATAAGGTTGGGCTTTTAAAGAATTAAGTTCGTTTTTATCGTTTATTTGTTATGGTGGTGGGTAGGATGATGTTTCTTGTATTGTTTTCTTCTTTGACGTGCTTTTTTGTTTTTGTTTTTGTTTGTTGTTCTGTTATGTGATATTTGTTATAATCGTGGAAAACCTAATAAAAAATAAAAATAAAAATGAAGGCGCCCTAAGCAACATCTCTGTCCAGAATGTCAACGTGGGGGAGTCATTTTCAAAACAGTTACAGGCCACATTTATATCAAACTCTCCAGCTTTTCTGAGATGAAAATAGGGGCGTTCTATTCAACATCTGTCTCACCCCCTATATATATGCACTGCCAAAAAGGGGAAAAGGGCAGGCCTGGCTGAGCTGCCCTACTGCGACTTACTTTTAAGCAATCATGCAGTAATAACAATAACAACAATAATAATTATTAATAATAATATCATTATTTATACCCCACCCATATGGTGGGTTTCCAAAGCCACTCGTCAAACAATAAAACCATCCTAATAAAGGGCTGCCTTCTGATGTCTTCTAAAAGTCAGGTAGTTGTTTATTTCCTTGACATCTGCTGGGAGGGCGTTCCACAGGGCAGGCGCCACCACCAAGAAGACCCTCTGCCTGGTTCCCTGTAACCTCACTTTTCGCAGCAAGGGAACCGCCAGAAGATCCTTGGAGCTGGACCTCAGTGTCTGAGCAGAACAATGGGGGTGGAGACGCTCCTTCAGGTATACTGGGCCTTTGAGGCCATTTAGGGCTTTAAAGGTCAGCACCAACACTTTGTATTTGGTGCTTTGAAACATACCGGGAGCCAGTGAAGATCCTTTAGGACTGGTGTTGTATGGTCCCGGCGGCCACTTGCGGTCACCAGTCTAGCTGCTGCATTCTGGATTAGTTGTAGGTTCCGATTTAAAGGAGAGGTAGTTTCATAGTTTTTGTAGGAGAGGAAGGGGAGCCCAGGTAGCAGCAATGTTATGGCCCCAGCTTAAACCACAATTTCCCATGGCACAGAAACAACGTGGATATTGTTATCCACGAGTGCCAGGGCTAAATAGGAGCACTCGGAGACTCTGTTATATAAGACATTCAAAGTCGTAACATTTTCTACCATATTTTGAAGGGCTAAAAAGAGGGCACATTGGCCGACTTCTACATTTAGCTGCCGATCACTATGACGACTCGACCCATGAAAAAGAGGGTGTGTCCTGGAAAAAGAGGACATCTGGCAACCCTAAATTGTTCCCCCACAAAAGAATCCTATGATCATTGTTGCTGCTGAGGTTTTTTAAGAGATCCCCCTTTCCCCACACAGAACTACAATTCCCAGAGTGGTTCAACAACCGATCTCTCATCCTAATGAACACTTTAAAGCCTGGAAGCCTTTCAGGTCCCATTCTGATAGATTTGGCTTCAGCTGAGAACTGAATGGAATTCCTGCCTCCATACTCACCAGTTTTGAAGGACTTACCAAAGGAAGAAGAGATCAGTAGGACGAAGGTGAGAAGGACAGGAAGGCTTCTGTGAGTGACATTCATTGCCATTTTTGTCTGGCGATGAAGCAGGTCTTGGACGTGGTTCACAGAGTGAGTGGCAAGCGGAACGGAGTTGGTTCACCCTGTTTGCATTACACTCCTTGGATTCTTCTCTCTGAAAGTAGCAATGCGGGAGAGAGGCTGCCGATGTCAATAAGCGTTTTCAACTGTCATTTCCAGTCATTTCTTCAAGCAGGAAATCCTCTGCCAAGCCCTTCAAGAGAAATCTGGGGTTAGCAAGTACATACGACCAATTACATCACCTCCTTCGATGAAACCACGTGACCCCAGTTGAAAAGCATCTGTGGAATATAAGCAACAGTTAACCCTTAGGCAGCCTCACTGTCCAATAAACATAACGAGCTTTCAGATCTGCTCTCTGTTTTTAAGTGACACAGTATATCTTTCCCTCTCACTTTTCGCTCCTTGGCTTTGAAGCCACTTACTGTTGAAACCAAGCAGCTGCTTTTATTATTTTGTGGTTACTTCTCCTGAATTTTAAATGGTTTATTACCCAGAAACTCCCCGCCCCAGGAGAAACACTTGTGAAGAGCAGCATTTATAAATGTTGTTAATCTGTGAATTAAAGCTGCCCTAAACCTTTTTGCAAGCCCTCTCAGCTCCAAGTTGCTGCACGTTATTTTCTCCTGTAACGGAAGGGTCTGCACAACAGCTGTGATTGCTGATAGCTTTCAGCTAGAACCCCTCCTCTTTTTATTTTCTGTACACTCTTCTAAAGCCACTCCAGTTAATGGCCCTCCTGTGTGACTGTGGAAGTGAGTTCAGTGTAAAATGAATTATGCACTGTGTGACGAAAGGCTTCCTCTTACCCTTCAGGTTGTAGGATCTGAATCAAGAAGAATTTGGCCTTAAATTAAGCATTGGTTGTGCTCCGAGCACCCAAACCCAGCCCTCATGGAAATAAAGACACAGTCTTTATTTAGGAGACAGTTTAAATGTTGATGGGCAAATTTTGGCCACAACTTTATTGAATACACAGATGTGACTGGTATTGACTTAGGCACTGGTATCAGAACTATATCTGGCTCCTGCCCCACCCTTCAGGAAGCCTGGAAGGCTAAACAACCAGCAGGGGGATCTCCGTCAGTGTATGTTGACTGTGTTCCCGGGGCTCCTGGCATGCCTTAGCCCCTCTGCGGGCTTCGGATGAGATCCAGACCCCCGGATTCCTTTAACGGAATACCCGATTCATTGGAGGAACAGGTGATGGCCGCACCTCCCCTCCCCACATTCCCCTAAACCAATGCCTAACCGCCAAACCGTACAAGGTTGTGACAATTGCTAAGAGGTAGGCAAAAACCAAGTGGCCACAGCCAATCTGCCACATTGGGAAAAATTCTTATCCAGCCTGCATTCCAAAACAGGTGACCAACTGAAGTCCAAAGCAAGGTCAAAGGTAAAGGTCAAGGGACCCCTGACCATTAGGTCCAGTCATGGCCGACTCTGGGGTTGCTGCGCTCATCTCGCTTTACTGGCCGAGGGAGCCGGCGAACAGTTTCTGGGTCATGTGGCCAGCATGACTAAGCCGCTTCAGGCAAAGCAGAGCAGCGCACGGAAACACCATTTACCTTCCCGCTGGAGCAGTACCTATTTATCTACTTGCACTTTGACTTGCTTTTGAACTGCTAGGTTGGCAGGAGCAGGGTGGGTGGGCGGGTGTTCGGCAGCATGAAGTAAAAGGAGGTTCCTACATCACACTGCCAAATAGATATCCCCAACCTTTGCCACAATGCTGATTGGCTAAAGGCCAGTGGCATAACTGTGGCACCACTGGCTTGGAGCATGGCAAGCCCCACCCACAAGCCAGTTGGGGAAGATTTTCAGGGACCGAGCACAACATGGACCCTCTGTTAGGAGGATCCAACTTGTCAAGCCTGTGCTTGCATAAGCTCTGTTTGGATGAGGAGAAAGACAGTCCCTCTCAGGTTGTTGTGAGGTGTGTATCTCAACACGCACGGCATCAGGCAGGCCCCCAGCTGGCTCCAGCCACCGGCCGGCAGCCGGACGATCACCGATCTCCCTTGGAACAGCATCAATCAGCGACATGAGACTCAGATACATTTAGAGACCTGTGGGCGCTCTATCAGCAGAGTGAATGAATCTTCTCACAGCAGAAGCGGCGGACAGAGCCATGTGTAAGCATTATTTGACAAGCGTTTATTCAGCATAGTTCAGGAACAAAGGAAAACATGTCTGCTTCCCTTCATCTCCAGCAAAACAGCAATATACAAAACAGAAATTCCCAGCAGACTGCTGGAATGTAAACAGGCATGTGACACACAACAGTCATGCCTGTTCCCTGTTAAGGTGGAACGGAACTATATCCTAACAGCAATGTGAAGGTTAGGACACCTTTCTCTCATTCAACACTTGTGCAGATGTTGAGCAAGTCAATTGAGGCTTCATTTTGATCCGCAGGATTGTTAGCCAAGCACGTGAAGGTGGAGTCAGGGGAGCCTTTTCTCCAGGAGACACAGAGTTTCCTGCTGTTGGACAAAAGCTGGTACTTAGATGAACCTCCTGCTGAGGCCCTGGAAAGATTGCCTCTTTCCCAGGAGATATGGTACTTTCCCTGACGAGGTACCTGACACCACAGGGTCACATTGCAGCCTTCTTGAGTATTGGAGTACACACGATAGAGTATCCATGGTACTGGCACTGGCTCTGTTCAACACAAAGAGAAGTCATGTGAAGTTTGTGCCTCGGTGGCCATTGCTAACTGTGCTGGGCAGTGATGGAGAGACACAGACCCTCCAAGCATCCTTAAGAGGATTGCGCCCTGTGGCACTCCACACACCAAGGAGTGGCGCAACGACATCTCCCTCCCTAGTGACACCCTCTGTCCCTGACCAGAGATAAAGGAGCACAGTCATTTTCGGGCTATGCCCTGTATCCCCACATCGGAGAGGCGGTGGTCCAGAAGATCATGATTGACCATGTCAAAGGCTGCTGACAAATCTTAGAGAATCAGCAGTTCTGACCCACCTCGATCCAGTTGTCTACGGAGATCATCTGTTAGGGCGAACAGAGCCATCTCAGTCCCCAAACCAGGACGGAACCCGAACTGAAATGGATCTAAAGCTGATGTTTCCTCCAGAAACCTACCAAGCTGTTCAGCAACCGCTCTATTGTCAGGGAATGGTCTGGATCTGAAGAATGCAGTCACAGGCAGATCAGTCTCTCTCAGAAGAGGAGGGGGAATATTCGCGCGTCCTCTGCCTCCAGCATTTTCAGAAGCAGAGAGACAGGCAGACCCAGGCACAGAAGCTGAACAGATTAGGGAGGAGCTACCCAGCTACGAGATAATGACAAGAGATCCTGAAGGGCCCTCCCCACTCAGAGGTCTGAAAGTATCAGAGAACAAAGGAGGCAGAGAGGGGGAGGAACTTCCCGTTGGAGCGCTCCTTGCTGAGGAAGTAGGGAATTGGATTCAGAGTAAGCAACTGCCCTCCTTGCGGAGAGCTGTGTATTTTGTGACTGCAACATGAAACTGTAATAAAAGGATGATAAATCTGTCAACAGCTCATTAATTCTTATCTGTGAAGTTACCCAAGGGAGGGGAGGACTCCCTGAGCTTGACAGCTATAAGATAGACATGTAGAATGAGCACATGAGTCAAAACAAAGAAGTTCTAGTAAAGACTGTCCTCTAAATATTCCTAGGGTGCTCTCCCCCCCTCTTGCTGGAATCTTTCCTTTCAGTCTGATCCATTTATAGCATTTCCACCCCTCCTTTTTCCTGCAAGGAGTTCAGGGTGGTATACCTGGTTCTCCCCATCCTTGCTTAATCCCCACAATAAGAAGAAGAAGAGATTGAATTTGATATCCCGCTTTATCACTACCCTAAGGAGTCTCAAAGCGGCTAACACTCTCCTTTCCCTTCCTCCCCCACAACAAACACTGCTCTTAACCACTACACCACGCTGGCTCAATACACCACAATAACCTTGTGAGGTAAGTAAGGCTGAGAGGCAGTGACTGGCCCCCAAGGTTGCACCCAGTGAGCCTCATGGCTGACTGGGAGGATTCGAACCCTGATCCGCTTTCAGGTCCTAGTCTGACACTCTAAGCACCATACTGGATGTATGCTTACTTTGGTGCAGCATAGAGGTGTGTGCATGCATGTAGAAGCTACCCTACTCTACAAAGTTCATAATTCACATTCACATTTAGCTGTGATTCCTGCAAGTGGGCCAGATGACCTTCCAACTCTACAATTCTCAGATTAATTTATCCCCCCCCCCCCGTTTTGCCTCTGATCCCTCCAAGCTCTGGGAGGGAATGTGGCCCCCGCCAAGCTGAAAAAGCTTCCTCACTCAATCCCATGGCCATCCTATTCCATGCTGAGCTCCACCCCACAAACTGACAGGAATGGTGAAATTAATGACTTACCGTAAACAGCAAGGTTAAATTTGTGTTCTTTAAACTGCTCTGCATTAAACCAAACACGTGCTCTATAAATTCCAGCATTCTCTGTCTCCAGAAAACTGATATTCAGCATGGTCCTATTAACCAACGCCAGCCGATCTCTAGACAGGTGTGTGCCACTTAAATCCCCACAAAATATGGTTTCATTGTGGTGTTCAGTCCAGTCACTGAGATTTGCCCCCATCCTCAACAGGTTCTCAGCAGTCTTCTCCTCCAGTTGCTTAGACCTGCTGCTGATATCTGACTGCTCCAGTTTCCCACCTTTGACCACACCAAGGGGACAGGGCTTTCCATTTGTGGGGTGAAAGAAGTCCCATTCGATTTTCTCTACTGCTGCTGCAGAGGATAGCTTTAAGGGAATGTAGACTGATCTATTCAGGACTCCGTTCACCTGATGGGGCAAATTCTCAGCTGCTTGCCTTAAAGTGCCTTTAAGGGAGTAAGAAAATATTGGTTATTTATTGAATTCATACCACACCTTTCCTCCTAAAGAAGCCCAGAGCAGCAGACCTATCTGCAACCCAACAATTTAAAGGAGGTAAAGGTAAAGGGACCCCTAGCCATTAGGTCCAGTCGTAGCCGACTCTGGGGTTGCGGAGCTCATCTCTCTTCAGTGGCCGAGGGAGTCAGCATACAGCTTCCGGGTCATGTGGCCAGCATGACTAAGCCACTTCTGGCAAACCAGAGCAGCGCACAGAAACGCCGTTTACCTTCCCGCTGGAGTGGTACCTCTTTATCTACTTGCACTTTGAGGTGCTTTCGAACTGCTAGGTTGGCAGGAGCTGGGACCGAGCA